TTGCCTGCTGTGTAAACTTTCCCAAATCGACTTGTGTAAATAAACTTCTCCAAAATTAAAACGAAAAAAAAGGTGGCAAACTTTGCCTCAACTGGTAGCATTGCAGAAATATCTCTTCATTTCGCTCTTCTCAGTCGCTTTTAAATTTAGTGATGTTATTGCTGTGGTGCTTGCTGCTAGGCAGTAATTTTTGGTGGAAATTAGATAAAAACTTTTTCATAAAAATACTATTATTTTTTCTATTTGTAATGTTTGTGGACATAAATTTGAAGTTAGCACTTTTGCATCAGTAAATTGTACAGTCAGCTTTTGTGATTATTTTATACAAAATGGAAGGTTACAGAAAAGCAGAAGATCTGAGTATTTCTATTCATTTAATGGAAGATATCTTGCGGGTCGGAGAAGAATACATGTGAGAACAGTTTATTTCATAAAAAATGTGTGGATTGGCTTCAAGATGTATGTGTAGAATCAATGCTTGCAGTGAATTCGCAGAATATTTTGCTAGGAAGTGTTGAAGTTTTAACCAATTTGTACAGATAGACGTATGACTTCGAATTAACACCACACAGCTATCAATGAAGCTTGTAATACTTACTTTGCTTTTTCCAAAGATCGCAAATATTCGTGACAATTACCAAAAAAAGAATTACTACAGTGTAGAAATGCTCAGATCTTTTGCTGTTTCCCACAAAAACTATACCCTACACCTCAGTAAGCAAAACTAAATGATGCTAAAAATGCATACAATTTAGAAACTTAAAAAATCGTTCAAGTGATCATTTCGAGTTTCTGTCACAAACTTTCTCCATAGGAATTGAAGATTTCCATACAGTAAATGATAATCGGATAAACTAACTTTTCATTTATACACAGTCTACCATTTAAACTCTTTTTATATTGCACATATTAGTGTATAATAATTATCACCAGTATTCTCTATAATTATGTGTATTGTTTGTGAAAATTTAGTTCTAAACTTATTCAGTAAATACTAAAGTGAGTTTATTGACTTTAATAAATTTTATAAATGCTCCACACTGAATTTATATATGAGTGAATACAACAACTGTGCGTGCAATTTGTAGAAATGACTGAGAGAGGCGTTCGAGAAAGGAATGAAAAAACATGTGAGAAGCACTGCAACTAACTTCACACTGCTAAACAATCTTCACATCGAATTGCTTTCTGAGTCGTAGTGCGCTCACTACGGATTCATAGATAAAACCAAATTTCCTTTCATCCTTACTTTGAAGGAAATTAGCCACCAGTTTGAAACTGAGATAATTAACGCTTTGAAACAAATTAATATTCTTCTCCGATCAATGAACATCAGAATTCACTTTGAGACATTAATGTGTAGAGCATTTCTTAGTCATAGCAATTATCTTATTCTGCAAATGGCCAGCATTCTCGTCTATTTGCAAGCGCAATATAAACGTGCACGGTTTACGTGTCGTGGTAATCGCAACTTAAATAGCATGCCCAACGTATACGTAAAACTGCTTTTACAAGGCAAATCTCGTTCCATAGACATTTTGACTTGAAATAAGCAAAAAATTGCTCAAAGCAGAAGTCACTCAATAATGCTGTGATCTGATCACAGAGCATCTGTTTTCTTTCCTCTAGGACTGCAAGTACTAAATTTTATCATATTTCTAATAGCAGTAAATAGAAAGGTTTTTAATTACAAGTTTAAGTTTAAAAAAAGTAGCATTGCATTTGCGAAAGTAGAAATGCAAATTTGAGCTGGTTGCCAAGCTAATTTACTACACTCCGTTTTTAATTTCCACGGCATTTACCGCTGCGGCGGATATCAGTTTCTCTTGGCTGGTAGTTTTGTTCCTTGCGCTGTGTTAATTTCTCTTTCCCATCAATTCTTGTAATATGTATCTCTTTTTCTAGCCCGTTATTTGTAATTGTGCTTATTTGTGTTATGCTTGTCCATGTATTTCTAGCATGAAGGATTTTCTATATACGCTTGAACTGCGGGCAAAGGTATTTTCATTCCGTCTGTTTGTAAATTTTAAGTGTGATCATATGAAATTGCCAGAAATATGTTATTTTCAATTAACGCGTTTCTTTCCACCTAAATTTCTACAATTTTATTTTCTGGAAATTATTAACTTGTCACAGATTTAGTGTGAAGATAAAATTACGATATAATTTTCGAGCCCTTGTCAAGCAGTAATCAAGGAACTATGCAAAAAATTACATGTCTATTTAAATAGAAAATGATTGACTAATGCACTCTGACTTTTTTCTGACTTGATCTCTAACCAGAGGGAAGAAATGACGGAATGATTGATGGAATTAAGAAAAGTCACTTGACCTCTTGAATGACCTTTTGTTCATACATGCAGATAAATTTAGTTCCTATTTTTACATTGCATTTTTTGCTGAGACTGTTTCAAAATTAACCAACCTTACGGTTTATGTTTATTTTATTCTGTATCAAATTTCACATTCATTTTCATAATCTATGAAAATCATTGAGCATAAGCGACATTTTATCGAGGAGCTGTGATTTTTTGTGTATATTTTTTGCGATTTCCATTGCAACCTTTGCTAAATCTTTTTTTTTCTACAAGAACATCTTTGTTTTTAAAGCGTGCGTAATTCAAAGTTAGCCCAGCAAGCAAGTAAATCAAGTGTTAATTACGATTCTACGTAGTTAGCAGTAAAATTTGTTTTATTGAAAACAGTCATTATCAGTGTAAATGGCTTTATCATTGATAATCATTCATAATTATCAACAAGTGTACACCTTCCAAATGGCAATGAATGCACGTGCATTTTCTTTACCCTTCTAACGTTTCGCATCATTTCTTTTGTTTCTAAGCACAGGAAATAATTTTTGGCTTTAATTTTTCAACTGGTTTTCATTTTGCATCTCAATTTTTTCCTCAATTCATAAATAGAGCACAGTTATCAGTTTACTGCTGGCTGTACTTTGCTGAAATCACTCTCGTAATGTATCATTAATTAAAGGTAGTTGCATAGTTAGTGATCTATAATTAATCATTTTCTCAATCAATAACGTAATGATTTTTGTTACGCCGTCTCTAATACCCTTAGAAGTGATGGTAGATTTTACAATGACCCTCTAATTGTGGCGCGGAATACGTCAAATGATTAGTTCTGGTGTCTAAATTATTTTTTGATAAAAAAAATTTCCTAATGAGTCGTAAAGAGTTGTAACCGAATGGTAAAAAAGTGACAAAATTTTTAAATCAATAAAGTCGTTATGTCGATCAAGTTAAATACTTTTGTTCATTTTATTATTTCTGTTCGTTGTTTATAATTTATTAGTGATTGATTAAATTGCAATTATCGATGATGATCTTTATCTGCTTGACTGCATATTACATATTCCGTTACTTTTTTCACACATCAGTTAACTTCTGATCTTTTGTCAGAGTTGTGAAGTTTGGAAAAGATGCATTTATGCAACGTTTCAGACACACCAAAAGTGTTGATTAATCGAACAATTTATTTTTGATCTTTTTTTCAGGTAAATAGTGCATTTTCATAGAGTCAGACGAAGAGTGCTGAAATTGAGTCATAATTGTCAAAGATCACACTTTAATTTTTAATATATTTATAAATTGGCGATAATGTTTTGGTTTTATATTTGTTACCACTTGTCAAAGTTTTGATTTAAAAAAGAGAAAAGTGACTTCCATTATGAATACTTCATCTTTTGAATGATTGTATTCATAACTGCAAACATCAAAGAGATTACACCTGTGTATAAAAGGTCACTGAATAATAATTGACTCCAATTTTCAACACTTACTAAACTTCATAATTCAGAATTTGATAATTGTGTGAGTAGTCTACACTTGTCAATTTTTGCTCGATTCACTCTGCTTAGCGAAAAGGTTGAGATCTTTCATTCAAGTATTTCATCGTTGAAAAAGCAAATTAGCTCTCACGCTAAATCATCTATCCTGTTGTTTGTAAATAAATTGCAAATTTTGGTATTATCAATTTTACTTGAGACCTCAAGTGGTCTATTTATCTTAATTTGCTTTGCATCTATCATTTATCTATAACTTACGCTCCAAAAGTTGGAAACATATTAATATATATATATATAATCAAAATTATCAAGTAGTAGAAAAGAGAAAAGATTAAATTTGAATTGCAAGAAAAACAATATCACTTGTTATTACAGTGAGGAGCAGGCAAACTTTTTCTTGTGGAAATAAATCCAGTAATAATACTTAGTATTGCTTATTATTTTTCGCTACATTAATTATTACTACAGCAATTATTAATGTCATTATTGTTGGCTATAGAGTAGCCGTTATGAATAGTCTACTCGAATTACTAATGGCTGTCAGGTGCGATTTTCCAATAACATTGCTCAGGAATGTTTTCAACTTTTGGGGCGTAATTTTAGGTGCAATTAATATCAAGAAATCGTGGTTTTATGAAATTGTGTGAATGAAAAAATCATTACTTATCTCTAATCTTTTGACTAAAGTTAAAATTCGGACGTGAAATATTCAGTGACATTTTCAGTGGAAAAGACAATAATTGCTCTAAGAATGGCGTTCATTTTGTATCAGTGCATGATTTACCCCGTAAGGCTAGTTAGATTGCCATTTGAGTAACCTTCCGAGTGGAATAAATTTAAATAGAGGATAAATAGGGTATTGTGTGAACAAACACTGCAGGATATGTCTATTTACTCAGTTTAAAATATATCAACAGCCAGTCTTCCCTATGTTGTCTCAGTGGTTACTCGGCATTGCCATTGCTTTACTCTGTCTTTTAAATTTCATTGTTTAGATCGGAATATCAGAAGCACTTTTGAAATTAGTTTCAAAGTACGCAAAAATAGAGTAAAGTTTTTCATTGAATATCGCAACTTGCGCAATTGCAGAAATTTTTCAAATATTTCACGACACCTTGGCGATAAGGAATGAAGCAGTGAATTTGAAAGTTCAGCCTTGAAATGAATTAACAGTTCTGCTCATTTGACAGCAGTAATGGCTAGAGAAATTAATAGCACTGCAAGTACAATTACTTCGGAAGATGAGTTTCAAACAGTTACAACGTCTGCTGAATTACAATGCAACGAATTTTGTAATCTGAGGTAAATTTTAGATTTCTAGCTTTTATGTTCAAATGTCTTGTAAAATTTAACTATCACCAGTGCATGAATTGATTAAAAAATCAATTCATGCACTGGTGACAGTTAATTCTGTTCCAAAAAATTTAAGAGCAACAAATTTAGTTTCCCAGATTGATCCATAAAATCTGCACAATTTGCTTTGATATTTATCAGTAATAATAAATCGAACATGTCCCTTGCTACAAAACTAAACTCTATAATTAACAGGAAATTAAAACCAAAAATTAGGTATGTCGGAGGCTCAACGACGAATCAGTTCTCAAGCGCGTTAAATAGTCCAAGCAGAGCTCGAATTGGTGTATCGCAGGTGTCCGTGCCGTTGGCTTGGAAGAGTGATGAACATTTTGGAACTCGAGGGGGTATACTTTTCTTGTTTTAGTCTTTTCAGGTCACAAAAAGATTTTAAACTTGTAAGTTTTCGAATGTAATCAGTGTAAATACAAATCACTAGTTACTGATAAACGAAAATTTTTACAGTATGTTTATACAGTTACTTCTAACTCTGTTTGCGTTATAGTAAAAAAATTATTTCTTGAAAATAATTACTTTGTTCGTGCTCGTTTTAATTTACAATGACATTCTTGATGGTACGATTTTTGCCAAGTTTATTTTTATTTTCGAACGACAATTTGCATTATGTGCTATGATTCTCACCAATTTTAGTTCGTTTTGATGCAGTTACTTTTTGTAAGGGCTGGACTGAATCTACTTGTATATCTACTTTTAATTTGTTATGAACATTATGAACGAAAGTAAAAAATCGAAGTTTCAAATCAGGTTCTGCTCAGTAGATTCAAAACTTGATAGTTAGGTGATTTTTCAGAAGGAAAGATGTACTCCATGTTTATTGTACTTCAAGCAAACAGTAATATCATTGATAGCCGTATTGTAACAACTATTGATCGCACATGTACTGATGTCACGTTTAAGGATTCATTTATTTTGTTCGTTTTAATTTTAATTTGAATTTATTCGTAACGCAAATTCCGCTGTAGATTAGCTCTAATTACGATGAATTCCTACGATCTTTAACAGTGCTTAAATAATTATAAACACTTACACAACATGGAAATATCAACAAAAAAAGACGAAAACAAGACAATAAAATATGCAGATTTCAGTGAAAATCAACCAGTAGATTTTGAAATTGGAATTCAGCTCTATGCATTGCGAACTGATGGTGGTGATATATCTCATTCACTGAAACAAAAATTGACTCGTTCTTTGGGACGCCGATTTGGTACCACATATGTATGGAATTACATCTGCCAGTCTAAAACTTAGATCTAAAACTGAATTCTAGAACTTGACTGTATGCAAAGTTAATAACAAAATCACAAAATTCTGGAAAGGAAGAGCATATGTTCAGAAAAATAGTTGGTTCGGTAATGAGGTTCTGGCAGTGGACCCTGTCCCGAGCAATGGAGGTGGTCAAGATGTTGTCAACAACGGCTACTTTCATCTGCTTGGTCAAGCAACACTAACTCTCAGTGATGCCAAGCCTAAAACCGGAATCTACGACCTTCACCTGTCACCCAATGGTAAATACCCTTCCACTGCAACCATCGCAATCTTTCTCTTTCCATTTAATTGGCAGTACTCATAATTTTAGAAATTGCTTTAGTTAATCCCGTGTATTTTTGAAATGATAAAATTTTTGCAGTTCTCACTGCCAAACTTTTATACTTTATTTTTACTATTCTGTCCATTTTAAAAACTGCTTTGAATAAAAGTAGTAAATTTTTATAAAAAATCAGCGGTCACAAAAAATATATGCGATGCAGTATAATTATAAGATTTTTTTTGAATAAATTAGATCATTAAATTCAAAAATATTAACTGTAAGTATATAGTAATTTAAGTGAAAAAACTTGATATATAATAATGTGGTTTCTTTTTTTCGGTGATCTAAAAATTAAGAAAATAATACTGTATTGAAGAAGAAAATAAAAAGAATGAAAAGGCATTCCTTTAAATAAATGTGTTCAATTATTTTTGTTAAAAAAAGTTAGAAGCAAATTCAAAATCAATTGCAAACTTTATTGACTGACAAAATTTTAACAAGTATCAAACTATTCTTAGACAAGTAATATGAAACTAATAATAGAAATGAATAATATTATGAGAGTGGATGTATTTTTAGGCTATGTCACAGGTAATTGCAGAAAAATATAAGTATCATAGTTTTACGTCTCTGAAATAAATGCGTGTTTCAATTGCAGCGATTAACTATGGCCCACCTTTGTATGGTCATATTCGATGTCGAATTGTCGCGCAACCGAATTCAGTGCTATTGCCCCTTTTGGATGGTATTTTGACAATCAAGCCCATAGGTGACAGCAGATTGTACCATAATATGCGATGCAAATTACAAGTATCAAATTATCCGCTTTTATAACTAGAAATGACCATAATCATAACTCTGGAAGTTAAAAATAGAAAAACTCCAATTTTATTTGTAGACAAATGTGCATTGTTGGATAATATTTGTTTCTTCTCTAAATTTTTAGGGAATACATTTAGAACTCATCGCTTAAAAATTCATGAAAGTTTCGAATAATAAAATTAGGAACTCAATCAACTTTATTGGTCAAGAAAAGTTTACAGGCCGGTGTATTAAAATGCAATACAGATCAACCACTTCATTTAGTCGATCAAACACTTCATATCTATATCAATAAGGTAAGGATGATTATGGTCACTTCCTTTTACAAAATTCATTAAAATAATAATATCAATGGAGGAAACGTGATGATAGCGTGATAAGGTGGTTTCATATTGCAGATCGCTGCTAACTTAATGTTATGTCATGAAAATTTATGTGAAACCATAGAATAATTATACGGAGTAAAGGTTTCTCAGCTTGAGTACATAAAATTGATACGGTGGCAAGTGTTACTACATTTGGATAAAACTGGCTTTGTATCAATTTTCTTCTTTCAAATTCTGCTGTAAAAAAAATATGATCCGCCTTTTGAACCAAATAAAAAATTGTGTAAAATTAATTTATTGTTGAACAAAATAAAGTTATTTGTATTCTTTTGCTACAGATAAATTATACTAATTACATTACACGACTTTTTAGCTGACGAGATTTATTAATGCGAATTTTGTTACACTTTTTAATTAAATATATACATACTTATTCCCAAGATTAATAAGTCCAAATCAATGCCTCTCTTGTATTTCTTTTCATTGGCATGAATTATCTGTTAGATTTATTTTAAAATATCGAACCGCATGCCAATAATACTTTTTCTGACTACTGCAGGATTCAAAGGTAACAGTATGCAAGCACGAACAAAGTATAATTGTTACGTCAGATCGTTATTTGTCCGGAGGCAAACGCAATAAACAATTTATTTTGACAGCTGAAAGCGAAGAAGATATTGCTGCATGGCAATGTGCAATTAGCATGCAAATCGCAGATTGTGGTGAGTATTTTAAATCTGAAGGAAAAGTTAAAATCTAAAGCGATGCGAAGAAATGACTTTAGAAATTGAACTTCGTTTCAAATTAAGAAAGACAATTTTTCGTTCACATCGCATGAAATTTTAAATGGCTTAGGGAATGCAAAAATATAAATATCTAATAATACTAATTTTTTGATTCAAAATCTGTATTTGCTGAGCGATCATTTCTTTTAGCATAAATGTTATAGCACTAAAACTGCTTCCTATTCCTACAATCGTGTCGTATTAGGACTTACAGTTTTTTGATTGCTGAGGAAAGTATGACTGATGACGATTAATGAGCTTCAAAGCATTTTTAATATTTTAACGGAATTTAGAGAAATAAATACACTGAAGCATGTATTTTTTCTTCTAAAAAAAGTAACTTCTGCAGAACAATGGGGCGAATTTGCTGTTTCATCAATAAGATTAACTACCGAACCGGAGAAGCCCGATGTGGTAATTTTATCGAGAAGAAGTGGTCGTCGATTATACGATGAGATTCAAATTGAAGCCAATGGTGATCGTTTCACCTTTTCATAAATCTCTTCAGCATTTTTAGTCGCGGACTTATAATATATTTCATATTATCTCTAAATTCGGTGATGGCCTGAATTCTTAAGGAATTGTACTTTTTTAAATTTTTGTTGAAAAAATTGCTAACTGTTGTTAAAATCTGTTGCTCTAGCCCTCGTAATTAATTGATTTTATTCCGTCACATTTATTAATCATACTTTCTACTTAAAAAAGTTAGTTAGATGGTGATAAAATGGAATCTATTTATAGATTGTTGACATAAGGTGACTCAATAAGAAAGTAATCAGCAGGAACTAATCATAGAGTTACTGGATTCAGAATAAGTTACTTTGGATAGTTAGAAAGTATCTCAATGCAATTGATTCTAAAAATCAGCTATCATTTTGATGGAAACTAATAAACTGATCTGCGCATCTTTGAAATCAATTTTTTTATCCGAGTAGAGTTCTATAAAACATTTGTTTTGACTAGAAATGAAATTGGAAAAACAACTTTGAAAATTTGGAGATAGTGTGCCGAGAGTTTTAAAGAACGACTCGCATAATGAACATCAGGATCCATTCTTGAATTCAGTCAAGATGGTTTCATTTGCGTCAACCACGAAATTCCATCAAACAGCTCCATCAGGACGAAGACGAAATGCTCGGTCTCATGTACGTGACCTCTTTCAGGTATGCTAATTTTGCATTGTTTTAGAGAGTTTAATTCTATGCTAATTATGCAGTGTATTTCTTTAATAATTGATTTTATCCGAGTAGAGTTTTGAAGGCTGTGGCTGAAAGTGACCACCGTTATATTATTAATTTGCCAATTGGACAGATGGAAACTGATGAATTGATCTGCGCATCATCTTCAAAATCAAATTTTAACTGTTGTAAGTTAATATTGGCTGAAAAACTTAGAAGAACTCAAAATCTTATGGTGATGTAAATGGAAGACTAAGTACAAAATTTATGAGAGTGCTATCAAATCTAAACTAAATAAGATTTACTGATTGACATTATTTAATTCTCATTTGCAGTCCAGCTAACATGGCAGCGTAACGTTACACAGGCAGAAGTAAAATGAGTTTAAACATTTTTAATTTGTCCAGAAGATATTGCATTTTCTGCAAAACAAAAAATGTGATAAAAATTATTATTCATGAGAGGACAAAGCTCACAAGCTCACAATGAACATTTAGTATATGAATTACCATAAGGATCTGTTGAGATGCTAGTTTTGAACAGGAATATGTGAAAATTTATGGTCACAACAGATTTTTATTACTAAAAAATGTATCGGTGATTATTTACGGTAATGCTCTTTAAGGAGACAACTGTGATAAGTGATTTAAGGGAACCAGAAAACGTTTCAATAAAAAACTAATGTTTATATAAAGCACAATCACTAAATATGTATTTTCATTTAAAAGATTATTTAAATTGGCAATACAGACCTAATGATTATTTTTTATTCAAATGTGTTTTTATTTCAAATATTTATCATGACAATTTTGTGAGCCATGAAGTGCATCTTCAGACAATGTTTTTAGCGCTAAAACTTAGATTTTTCCGATTTTCGTAAGCAAAAAAAGTTCAAATAAATAATCCGAATTTTTGATGTTAAAAAAACGAAAAATTTTTTTAAATGAAAATTTTTTTGTGCTGTTATCGTGTGCATGCACTGAACATGACGGATTGGACAAATGAAATCAAGCAGTTCAATATTGCATAAAATATTTACTTTGATCTAGTTATTAGAAATTAATTACACTCATACAATTAGCTCAATTCGATCATCACCAGTTATTGCTTGCGATGGAACCAAATTTCTTACTAGATTCAAGAGTGTAATGTACAGTACGAGAAAAAATTCACTAAATCTTTATAGATTCAAATGGTCACTCAACAGTAACTGAAGGTAATGAGCTGCAATATTTGGAGAGTGATGAAAAGGTTTATGTTTAACTTCACAATCATAGCCTGAAATTTTTAGATGTAGAAGAAAGTACAAAATTACTTACGTCACAAAATGGTTAATATTTCTGGTTGAACTTATATTCAATATTCTTCAAATTATAAGCTGTGAAAATTGTTTACGAAAAATATGTTGGTATTCAAATATTTAATTAAGCTACTATCGATAAGTTGAATTCCTCATTTCTAGAATCCGATCCGGACAAATGAGTATGGCATATCTCACGAAAACTTCTTCAGAGGTTTCAAAAAAAGCTTCCAAAAGTCATTTGGAGCTCTGAAAAGTCGCAAATCGCCTCTTGAAGTTTCTCGTTTTTGAATTATCATCAATTTGTTTCATGTAAATATGTCGTTCTTCCACCTTTTAATAACTCTTTTCGACGTAGGAAACATTGAAAAATTGGAGATTGTGCATATCAACCTCTTAGATACAAATTCAATCAAGATGTATGTTTTAAACTTTCTGCTCAACTGTGGAGGTTGATTTATCACATAGTCCGAAGTAGAATTTTTAAAAATATTCAGTAAGGGAAATGAACGCTATCTGTCAAAAAACTTGTAGCACACAGTACAGTTAAATGCATTCATACTTCTATGCAATAATAAATCAGTTTTTTTCGCCTAATCATTTGAATATGCAAATATTATCATGCTGATAAATTTTTCACAAGTCTGTGTTGCTGATAATTGTGAGTTATTGTAGCATGAATTTTAAATGAGGGAAGCAAATTTTTGATTGTGTAAAGAAATATGGATGTATTAAAATTCTGCCTCTGATTAATTAAAATTGAATGCTCTTCGCAATTTATCTGCTTACTTTTTAAAGTACAAGTATTGCATATTCACTCTAATATTTTCTAAAATACAGCAATAAATGACCAGTATAAAGTTATTTCCGTAAGTTCTCTGCACTAATCTCATATATATGCATGAAGCATGTTTCAAAGTAGGATCTCAAGTAATATTAAATTCTTTATCGCATAAAGGTCGCACTAAATTATATGGAACCTAGCCGAGGATAAAGGAAGAATATCGAGTCGAAATGGATGATAAGCAATCGAAGCATACGAACACTACTGAAATGCTTTCACGTCAATCATAGATCGTATCTCATTCACAATGTTTTCTTTCATTAAATTGTCTGCTATCTCGGCTAGACGTCGTTTTGGATCAAAACAACCAATTTTTTTAGTTCCAACTTCAGCTTTTGTCGCTACTCTCGGCTTTTCTACTTTGCCTTTTGTTTGCTCTTCTCGCGGCTTGTCTAATTCGCTCGATAACTCCTGGTTGTATCAGAATCATTAATGACTTGAATTAAATACTTATAATGTTTGATATCATTCTATTGACGGAATATCATCTTAGCATACTTCAGTTTTTAATTCTTCTATTCAGAAAACAAAAAAATTTAAATTTCTGATTGAAAAAACACAATTGCACATCTTGCGTAAATATATTTTTCAGTTTATTTTGAATAATGAATAGCTTTTCAATAACTGGAAAGTTTTGAAAATGTATCTACAAAATATAAATGTTCTAAAATGGTAAAAAATTTGCTTTCCATGAATGAAGTCTGAAGCGCTGACAATTGCGCTGCACTATTAAACGGGGCTAAAATATGATTCCGTAACTTCTTCCGTAAATATAAGGTGCTATTTAAACTTTACCTTATTATACATTGTGATCATTTTAACCATTTCCTCTATATTCGATAGATTGATCTCGGATAGAGCACAGAAATTATTCAATCGCAATGCTTCCACCCAGTTTTTCATTTGTAAACTTTGTAGCATTTTCTGCTCTTTTACTGTTGGTTTGAAACTGATCATTATTGAGTAATAACTGAAACTTGCACTAAGTGAAACTGCTTATAAATCAGTATAATTCAAGTGACATGTATGACAAGAAATGGAAAATAAAAATTAACATTTTACTTTGCTCACTGCATTCTCACAAAAATAAGAGGTTTCATAAATTTCGCCATTCTTATCAGCTGGTCAATAAAAAACCTTTTGCCGAGACCATGTAGCTGTTCCACTATTGAATGTTTCACAAGATGCCCTAAATTAGAAGTTGTTTGTCGTGGTTCTTCTGTTGGTGCCAGTGTTTTATGGTGACTATCCAGGAAACTTAGTTCTAAAGTATTTGCACCGGCAGTACGAAATGCATCAATTACTACCTGAAATAGTTCGTATCAAGTACTTTCATGGCAAATATACTTACATAGCTCTCCAAAATACAAACTTTTCCTTTAACAGATTGAATTGGATCAACTACTACAGCAACAGCACGTTCACTAAGTGCTTCGAAACTCCGCTGTGTAGCGATATCAACTCCAGAAAGCCAACATCCGAAGCCTGGATGCGAATGGTACCAACCGACAACCATCTCCGTACGTCCAGTACGATTAAGCATTTCTAGCATTTTTGTCTGATAAACCGGATCAACTGCTTCTACGGATACACCCTGCAGAAAAAAAGAAATTTTAGTAAATTCAAAAAAGGCACGAAGGAATATATTTAAACTAAAACACCACAGTCTTTCTGGGAAGGTATTGGCAGTACTTATTGTATTTTACCGTTCCGGATTGTGGCATGGCAAACACATCAACAACATTTATTGTGAAATCATCCACAAATTCACCTAACATCAGGCCCATCACCTGAAATATTCAGTAATTTTAACATCATTCCGAGATTTGTAAAGGAACTTTTGTTGAGTTTTTCCATCCGAATCTAATGAGCTGTTTCATCAGGGATCCTTTAATCAGAGATAACGCGAAATTGCTTTTTCTGTATTAATACTTTAAACGCAGATAACGATGTGAAATATTATCACCATAGATCGTAGAATAATGCTAGACTGTGGCCAAAAAGTGCAAAAGATTCACTTACTCAGAGGTTCTTTCAGAGTTCTTTTTCATAAGATAGTTTTTAGTGACTGTAAGGAAAGTACAAAAGGTGCTTTACTTTTCTCATATGTTATACGACGTTTTTCTCGCTAACTCCTTATACACAAGAAAAAAGTTAATAATGAGCACTACGTAATACTGAATAAAGTACTGCTCTTCTGCTATTAATCTTGCGTTCGTGATGCGGTGTACTTTTAAAAAGCGTGCAGTACACAGTAATAAAAGAAGGCCAGTAATGAATGAGCACTACAAACAAGCACTGGTTAATTTTTATAGGGACAGAGTGAGCCTGCTTTCTGCATACATTCTGAACAGTTTTTAGATCGAGTAAGCACTGTAAACATCGATTTACTTTTGTTTTTATGAATTGCCCAAGTCGAACTCATTAATTTTAGATTTAAAACCGAGAATTAAGCTGAAGTAGAAGTCTCAATCACTTTATTTCTTCTGATACAAATTATTTGCATGACTTGCTCCAATGACAATTTTATTACTATAAAGTCACTAAAAATTAGAGCTAAAATTAATTATTATGTATTTTAGTTTCGCCATAGAGTTCAAATAATTTAGATTTTCTAATATTTTTTATGAAATGAAAAAAGTAAATTACTGACAAGTTGGAATTTTAATAGAATAATTATTTATATTCCAGTTAAAAATTTTCTCAAGCTTGCATCAAAGTTTGCATGCAAGACGCATCGCTGAAAAGTGGTACATTCGAATTTGTACGTAAATGTATTCTGATAAATTTCAAATGATTCAATTAAGTACTAAAATAATGTATAAACTCAACACAATTGTCTAAATTCAAGAGCCGAAACCATAATCAAATCACTGTCTACTTCATGCATTTCCCTTCAAAGTATGATGAATGCATTAATTACTTCCATTGGAACACCAGCACGACCATGTCGAAGCATTTTCAAAAGCGCAAGCGACGAAATATATAGTGTTTCGCATGTGTCGGGATGCTTGGGTAGGTCTTGAGGAGCAGTTTTTGGTAACTACAAGATATCATCAGGTAATAACGTTCTTCCACAAACAATTAACTACACAACTACATTAGGTAATAATTCGAAAATATGGATCATCTCAAGATATTTTCACATATTTTTCTGCATGCAAATTGGTTATAAGCCAAACAATGTATGCAGCAAGTATCTTGAATTTTTGGCTTATAAAACATGTAAAATAAAATAATGAGATTAATTCCATAAATTTGGAGTTCACTAATTTAGAATGTAACTGTTACAAACTTCCATTCATTACTGCCATTTACAACTTCTAAGGCTCAAATCCTTGACTATAATTTTGCAGACGCTTGGCAAAATATTAGTGATAGAACGGAAATGAATGACGAGATGTCAATTTTTCATGAAAAATATTGTACTGCATATGTGAGAGATTAAAAAAATTCATTTCAAGACTCCCGCAAACGGTAGATATCCATCTCAATATAATACCAAAAAGAATTTCAGATTCAGCTTGAACGTTAACATGACTTTTCTTGTGATTTTTGCTGAACGACTCAATTCAAAGACAGTTTGGAATAAGAAAAATCAATCTTAGAATTGCCGAAAAAACTTTTTAAATTGCCTACATGATTAAAACCAGTCAGACGGAGCAACCTCTCCATGGCATTTACAAAACTGACTGATTTCAAATTTATTATTTTGAAGTCTTTCATAACTGAACATGGAAGCAAACAGCCAGCATGTCGTCATTATAAGACAAACTGGATGAAGAATTGCATTTCGTGCAAAATGCACGCTGATGAAATGGTTTAACCAGTTGGTTTGATCAGTTTAAATATCAACGATGGAAGGAGCCGTTTATGTTATAGTGAGATTCTTTCGTATTTTCCAGTTGTCGTCTGTGTCAGATGTTACAGTATGTAGTGTATAAAAGGGGTGTACTCACACAATATGTCCTTCTATTTGAATTATCCTAATTTTCAATAAACACGAGCCAAAATTGCTACATATAATAATTATATTTAATCATGTCAATTTAATGTTTACTTACAATTGCACAATGAACACGCAACTCACACTCTAGTCAGTTTTTTGCTTGTTTCATATTTATAAAATTCGAATTGTTATTTCCAAGTACTTTCATTGCCAAATGCAATCATACCAACTGCTTGTAATTGCAGTTATGGTTTGTATGCGTAAATGAATTTTGTGGGAACATCATATTCTACTCAGAGATAAGATACTTGTGTGTCAGCCCTGTGAAGTGATTCTGTATCTTGGTAACTTTGTTGATTTATCTAAAACTTTCTGAATTCAATAAATGATTAAGTAATCATCTCGCGAGATAGAAGATGGATACAGCACTTATAACGTTGGATGCATTCACTAAAGCATACGAGTGTATTCTGGAATGTGTGGAAGAAGAATTTGGCAAGCGAAAAAAACGGTTGACAGCTGACAACACTAAATGTATTGCTAAAATGCACAAAGTACTGGTGAATCAAAAAATAAGCATTTTGCGAAATGGGTATTTTATCTTGCCTTACATACTGTTAACTCATTTTTCTTATCAGAAAAAATAGCTTTCCAACAAAAAATGAGATTTTTTCTGATATAATCTACATTTCATTTCAATTAGCAGCATTTTCCGAAAAGCAATCATTGCTTCGGTATGTTGAAAATTTGCTGGAAAATAATCGAACTTTTAGAAATACCTTAACTGAAACAGTTGACTCATTATTGTATGATTGGGAAGAATCAGCACCGCAGTCAATAGCATTACAGCAACTCGTCGCACTTCTTTCCAAACCAATTATGAGGGTATACATTTATCAAATATCAGCTTTTTCCTATCTCACAGTTAAGAGTAATGGGATATTATAGGTATTTATTAAAATAAATACTTTTTTTTTATTCAGAAGATTTCGTTTACATCATTTTTTAATTTTTCATCACCAGTTGTATTCCAGAGTTTATTCTCCGTATATGACATTGTTTCCACTCGCAGCTATCTTCCACAGTTGCCAGAAATACCTTACGAAGTTGATGATGATGAAGGTATTGCTGTTAAATTGGTGCGCCTAGTTAAAGGCAATGAAGCTATTGGTGCTACTATAAAATGTGATGCTGATGGAAGAGTTTATATTGCCCGTGTAATCATAGGTGGAGTTGCTGATCGCAGTGGAAATATTCAAGTAGCTTTTTTTCTCTGGACGAATCAGTGGAAATCGGATAAAATCAAAATCTGTACCATTTTTTACTTCTATTGTCATTGTTTATTCAGTGAAAAATTCTCTCTGAAAGGCATGAATTTGTAAGTTCTTTCGCATAAAATTATATGTGAATAATTCTTAAAGGTAGGAGATCGGATTCTGGAGGTGAATGGTGTCAGCGTTACTGGTATGAGTCCAAATGAAATTGTAAAATTATTGGGCAACGAAAATAGTGGGATTAGTACTGTTACTTTTAAATTAGAACCCGCTGAAATACCTGCATTTATTTTCTCACAAGAGTCGCGACATGTTCGAGCTCTGGTAATCTCATTTTTTTTAAAGTTTTGTTTCTACCAGTTTTCATTTTAATCACTTCATATAGTGTATTTACTATTACTATTATTTTCTACTGCAAAAATGTGAGATTATTATCAGAAAATATAACTTCAAGCAGTATTTTCAGTAAAGGAGTAATTATAAAGGTTACTTAGTTTTATTTTCATTATTCTAGGAAGAAATTACAAAACTGTAACCTAAGAATTGCACGAGAAATCTTTTTAGTGATGAAATGTGCTAGAATAGCGAAAATAAAATATTTATTGTTGAAGATTGATTATTCTGGTAGTCGAGATTCTCTACATCCTTGTCCAGAAACTGCTCTTTGCTTCACTCGAGGAGAAATATTGGAGTTAGTAGTAACCGGTGATGAGCACTGGTGGCAAGCACGTTCACTTGGACATGGTTCTTTTGCGACATTACCGCCAGCAACCTTCGGTATTAACCATTTGTTTTCCATGGTTATTTCACATTATGGTTTCTGCATAATTGAAACACAATTAAATGATTATTATTTCAGCTAATCAAAATCACCAACGAATGGGTCTCATTCCTTCTGAAGAATTACAGCAAAAACGTTTAACTCTGAAGGAAAATGAAAAATACAAATGCAGTTATCGAAGGACCGCAAAAACTATCTACGGGGTTATAAAAATTTGTAGAAGATATTTAAAAATCTATTTTGACATTCTGTTAATTGCAAGAGAGTTCACATTTGAATCATGCTTCCAATTAGAAAGCAAGTTGAAACTTTTTCAGAGTTTACAAAAGCCAAAAAATTGCATAATTCGGTTTCGAAACTTATTACTATTACTTTCTTCGTTTTGCACAATTGAACCAGTTGTCTTTTATTTTAGATCGGTAATTTGTTATATGAGTCAGTATCACTGTTGTATCCCAAACAATCCAGCATCAGGCCAATAGTTTTGATAGGGCCTCCAGGTGTGGGGCGTAATGAACTCAAAAAACGGCTGATTGCGATAAACAGTAGTCGTTACGGCACAAGTGTACCGCATACTAGTCGTCCTCAGCGGTATCATATCATTTCTTGATAGCAATTGAAATGTAAGAAATATTAGTAACTGTGAAGATCTATAATAATAGTTCATCTATTATTAAAATTCATCTTTAGCTATAGGTTAATTGTTGACAAAGTCAGTTTGTTTCCTTTACTATTTTACAAACATTGATTGCATCATAGTGCTGATCACCCAAACTTCATGTTTGTCATAAAGCTAGTTTTAGCACTTAGTATTTAACCGTTAAAAAATTGCACTCATTTAATTTTGTCTAATAATATTTAACAGTCCAAACGAAAAGGAGGGTATTGATTATCATTTTGCAAAGCGTGAAGAAATGGAACAGTGGATAAAACAGGGACGATTTTTAGAATACGGAGAATATAAAGAAAATTTGTATGGTACACTTGCTGATTCCGTCCTTGCTGTTATGAAACAGGGTATATCCCGACGACATTTAATAATTATTTTAAATTATGAAAAATAATTCCTCGTTAATAAGGATGAAATTTACTTGGAATTTTCTTAAGCGGTCATTTTATCATATTTTTAGGACGTGTGCCTGTATTGAGTACTCATCCCCTGGCATTGCGGTTCTTGCGTTCTAAACTTTTCAAATCATTCATTGTTTTTGTTAAACCACCATCATTTGATGTTCTTAAGGTATATTAATCAAAAATCCTGTTCACTTCTGATCATTTTTTTAATGTTTATTTGATTATGCGGCTTCTGAAAATAGCTTTGTAAATTTATTACTGAAAATAACTATGATACTAAGTGTTGTTTTTTGTCATTTCTGCTCTAGATTTTTCTTAATTTTAGTTATGTATGTTTATTTGGAAATAAACATCTGCATCTTTTCTACAGGAAACTCGACGTCAACATCGTGCGCGAAATTTGCAGTCTGCAGATTCTGGGCGACGAGATGGTGCATCAGTTGCAAATCATGGATTCACAGATTTAGAATTAGAACAAATGATCTCAGCTGGTGAACAGCTTTTTCAAATCTATGGGCATATGTTTGACCACGTACTTATTAATGCCAATTTTGGAGCTTCATTTGAACAGTTACGTAATGTAGTAAGTAGGTTAGAACGTGAACCTGCCTGGGTACCTTCTGATTGGGTGCAATAGTTTATTTAACTGACTTTTATAATATTTTTCACTTCCAAATAGACATGATGTGAGTATATTGTTTATTGTATGTACGCTTTTATGATCTTGAAAAAAACTCTTAAATATGTTTTCCTGTAGGGTGTTGTATGCTAGTAGTTTTTTGTCTTTCATATATAAATTTTCTCTCATAAGCATGAGCTGCATCCTCATAAGTCTCTCGTGTATTTATCATTTTGCGTTATGTTGAACTAATTTAAGAAGAATGAGTTTATTTTTTTGTGTGCAATAATAATATTAGAAATTTAGTCTTTAACAGCAAACAATATATTTAAACAAGCATATTGTTATTATAATTTTTCAAAATATCCGTCAAGAAGGTACCTAGGTGCGCTATTCCAAATAGTGTCCGCAAAAGCATTTCATTAAGTAATATTATAGGGGAGAAGTGTTCTTGGTATTCTTTTAATCTAGCCAGTCCGTTATAGATTCTAGCAAAATCAGTATTTTGCAATGATGAGGAAAAATTTGTAGTAAATGGAGTGCATTTCTGGTGTAGATCGTGTTCTCAGTTATGTGACTGCTTAATAATAAATGTTTTTTCGTAGTCTCACTTAAGATTTTGCTTATTTTTTGTTATGCCATTATGCATGAGGATGAAATTGTATATTAATTAGTGACATATTTTCATATCTCGATCAATGTTTATCTTCAAAATTGGTTTCGAAAATTTGTTTTATATCAATTTATTTTTTATTTTCATCACACAATATTTACAGTAAATCAAACAAAATTAATTTTCAATAAAGGAAACATTGAAGTGAAGAATGCGTAGCAAATACGTAGTCCTGAGTACCGGAAATGAATTAAAGTGAAGAATGCGTAGTCCTGAGTACTGCAAGTGAGTTCTGTGAAATTCATTTTTTGGAAACAAGTCATAGATGGTGTTTGAAACAACGTGCTTGAAATCAGATTTTCGACAGCACGAATATCCAGGTCTTTATTGCATATCTAGATCTTTGTTTTTAATTTTCCTCCACCAATACCACGTGTGAGCTACATTCTAGATTTTGCTTTCCATGCCATTAAATTTGGAGGTGAATGACTATGTCAGTTAAAAATTCTATCATCACAAACAACAAAATATTCTACAAAACTGCATGGAATTAAGTGTAGTACCGCAGTACAGAATTAACGACGAAATTCGTTTGATTTTTTATTAAGCAATTACAAATCAAAAATAAGTGATAAATGGAAACGAATGGCAGAAAAACGATTAGTCTCAGAAAATATCATATTATTTATTTCCGCTAAATTAGTAAACTGTTTCTATAGTCATGTGATTCAGCTCATACCTCAGCATTACTTGAAAAGAAGACAGAAGTCGTTATTTACATAAAATTCTTAAAGAAGAATTAGAAAGTCAGAGAAATGTGAGATCACTAATGATTGTTTTAGGTTTTGATGATTCCACAGCTAGTTGTTATCGAAGGTGTTAGATTCTTTAGAGAAAGAGCAAACGTCTGAGAATACGCTTGAAAGATGCTCGAAAATCGCGCGAAAATACGGTATAAATAATCGGATTGAGAGCTGAATTAAGGTAACCTTAAAATAATATTAGTTATTTTGATATATTATACGTATTCTAAATGCTTACAAAATATGTCAAAGTAAACTGAGTCTTGTATTGATTCTGGTAAAAATAAGAATAAAATGACCTTAGCTCACTGAAAATAAAAAAAAAGCTTCAGCTTCAGCTTCAGTTCGCTTCACAGAGAAAAAATTATTCAAATAAGTTTCCCAAAAAATTTGGAGAAATATTAAAATTTGGAGTAATATTATAAAAAAATCAATGTTTCAGTCATTTCACCAACCTAACCAATTCGTTATAGATTCTAGTAATATCGGTATTTTGCAATGACATATAGGTCGATACAAAGAAATCAGGAAGAACGGCAACCAACAAGCGACAAATGTTCCAGTAATAATTACTAACGTACGCCAAGCCTTCCTTTCACGTTTCGTGTCAGCGTTTTCTTTCACATGCAGTTTACATTCAATCTTTGTGAAAACATTTTTCTTTTGTCGTTTACTTGTATTGTAATTTACTACAATTTTATTTTTTAGAGTTTCCTCACCAAAATTTTATATATATTACAGTAGTAATTGTCACCAAAACTATTTAGTAGGGTATTTTAAGCTGTGAAACCATTTTTGGAGTTTCCGATTTTATTTCGTAAATTTGAGGTGAATTATAGCAATGAATGATAAATTACAGCGTTTAATTTATCATCATAAGTTAGCCATTAATAGCGATGATCAGATAGACAGTTACAGCAGATACATGCTTTTTCATTAAATTAAAAATGCAACTTGCTTCTTTTATAAGATGCAACTTTCATTCACTTTTTATGCATAAAAAAAGTAATATAACTTTCATTCACTACTTTTGTCATATGATTTTTGATGTATTTAAATAAGTAAGTACTTTTCAATGAAAGACAAACAACTTGACCAACTGAGTAATCTGTGTTCTGGATTGCATTCACCGCGAGCGGTCTGAGCAGAATCAATCTGAGTTCGCTTTTCAGATGATAAATTAATATGGAGCGGAATTTTGTCTTTATTGCTTACATCTTCATAACTTTCAATTTTTTCCTAGAAGTAGTCCTACTAAAAACTGTCATCTTTTTCAGTCTCAACACATCTCATGCCTGCTTAAATCTCTCAAAATTTCAAACTGCCTTACCATTTCAGTATTACTGCTATTAGAGACATCCGTAATTTTTGGCCTTTCTCTTGACATCGTTGTTTTTGCATTTATTAATGAGGAATAAACGACCTGATTGTGTCCTGTTTCCAGTGTAGGTGGTGGAAACTGTAACATAATTTCTAGTTACTGGAGCTTACACTTCATTTCAAAGTTGACTCGAAAAATCATTATTGGAAGCATCTTACACATTTTTCATCATGTGAATGAATATTTTGTTCCAGATGGTTATGGTTATCAGTGGTTATACGACGGCGATCACGTTCACGTTTAAAACGACGTTTTGCAGCGCGCATAATTTTGTAATATATGCATATAATAGCGCATAATGGGATGTAAAAGGCGGTTGCAGTACTAAATACCTGTAAATCTATTTAGAATTTAGGAATGATGAAGTAAGTGTAAGGCTTAAAATTGTGACACTGAATTCTGCTATCAAAATACGTCACAAATTATTGCTGAATAAATATAGTTATTACATCATTACTATTTTGTAGAGACATCCGTAATTTTTGGCCTCTCTGTTGACATGGTTAGTTTTGCATTTATTAATGAGGAATAAACGACCTGATTGTGTCCTGTTTCTATGTCATATGAAAAATTTTCTCTGAATAATACTATGCATAATATGTTGTACTATTGCGTTATAAGGATATTGAAAATGATCATAATCATTGGATAATATAGAAAATATTGAGATTGAGTCTCATACTATTTATCTCTAATAATTGTAGATAAATTCAATTCATCCTCTCTTTCTCTCCTGTGATATACTCCAGGAAACATTTTACTCAACTTAGTTATTGAAAAATGATAAAATATTCAAAGAAAAAGATCGATCAATCAAGAAATCGACAAAATTTATCTTGTATTAAAAAATTCTAAAACTTATGATATCTTCAAAACGGCTCTATCAATGATGAAGTCAGAAGTTAGCCATATGTATGCACTCAAGAATTCTTCTTAACAGAAGAAGAATTCTTCTGTTAAGTCTGCATTGTATCATTAATAATGCTTTGTAAACAAAGGGAAGGAATGCAATCAGTTTTGCAATGTTTTAGTAACGCTGGAAAGTATTGCATTCACTGCATTAGCAAATCAAAAATTTTGTCTATTGAGTGACCTCTTTTGGAAAAATACCGTTCAGATATCCCAATTTTCGACCAAGAACACTCATCTACTCTATGTGAAATCCATCTACTCTATGTAAATTCGTTGTAAAAAATTTGGCAAGTTCTAATGTAAATTGTATTTCCCATATTTTCAGTCACGCTCACAACTTTGTACTCTTGCGGTATGTGTGAAGAAAATGGAATATTAATTCTTGTCGAAATGAGTTTTTCAACTGAAGTAATCATTAAGAGTATAAAGTACGGAAAAATGACCTCATATGCTCTTATGACTTAAATTCAACTCCCATGACAGCTTGTGAATGCTAATGTATTCATTAGAGTTGGTATATTTTCAATTATCTCCAACCGAAAAATTTTGTTTTCAGGCTAACTTTAAAAGTTCTAAAATAAATTCATAATTTAGAATAATAAATCATGAAAAACAAACTACCTGATAACTGATCTGTTGGCTGATGAGGCAAAGATGGTGATCTATGACGCGATGATAGAAGTCATTGTCTTTCCATCCAAGTACTGGAGCTAATGAGATAAGCAATGAAATGAGCCAAATAGTGCCTAACATGCAAAATATCCGCCGCGGAGTACGATTCTGCACGTAGCAAACATCCGTGACACTCCAGTAACGATCTATTGCTGCAAGTTTGGTGATTTTAAGAGGTTACTAAGGATATTTTTTTACTTGTCATCATCTATAGGGGTATTTATTTGCATATTCACTTGCTTGTTTTGATATATTTCCACTCATCGACTACTTGATAATTTCAAAATGTTTAAATAATTAACCGATCGCGACGAGATGAAGAATTGAGCTAGTACAAAGTAGAACGTCAACGCTGATCCAAAAATCACATAATGCTACACCAAGTGTCCACGCATGTAAGATCGTTGACCAGGCACCTAACGGAGTAACTATCAGGCCAACCTGCAAGCAAACTTAGTTATGTCATATTTTTATTGGAAAATGTTATGCACACAATGAAAATGGTGCAAATTTTATCTTTCCTAGCTTATTTTATGGTGGATAACGATACAATAATTTTTTGTTTTTCGTTGATCTCAGTAGTATAGTTGAATTTCCTTATTATTAGGTTTTAGGCTTACACTGTATGTTTAGCAAAACGCATTCTTTTTAGCAATATATATTGAATAACTTGTGAAAAAGTTAACTTTCTGAACTTATGAAACTTAAGTTGTACTTCAGTTATTTTCGTTTGAAATTTTTTCCTGAAAAAGGACCTTTTACTGTTTTGAATGTATTATTTCAAAAAAGTTCGAAAAGTCATTTTTTGTTTCGATTCGATTCATTGGCAGATTTAAATTGGCATACATTTTGAACTTTTTAAAATGAAAAATAAACTGTGAAAAATTATTGAAACTAACAAACAAATCTGCCACAGCAAGAGAAAATATTAAATAATACTGCGGTCGAGCCTTCAGGTCGCGTTCAGTCAGTATTGCAATAATTACAAACAAATTACCCACAATACATGCCATTATCAGAACTGTTAGTAATCCTCCGATCGTAGCCATCTAAAAATTGAAAAAAAAGCAGATGTATACCACTTCTTAATCAGTCAGAAACTAGAAGACAGCTTTATGTTTTTAAATAAATTGAATTTTTTTTTGATTTTTTAAGCGGTTTTATTAGATTAACTTCAATTGAATTACAACTTGACTTGATTATATGCAACGGTTAAATGCAAACAATCGATTCATTTCATAAAGCAAATTAACTTTTACTCACCAAAAACTTACTAACATCTTTTTTAATTTAATTAGAAAAAATTTTTTCCCTCAATCTTGTTGCTTCCAGGATTATTTCTAATTTGCTAACAGAGAATGCATATGTCAGTGCAACAAAAAGTAATAGTTTAATTGAGGTTTTTTGAGCATGCAGAATTAATCAGAATGTGTGCTCCCATTTCTTCATTATTGAAATAAAGAATGCAATAGCTCATAAATTAAGAACATGACATGATTCGTGGCACATTTACTACAATTGGAATGCTTGGGAGCGAATGTACAATAAAAAGTTAATTTTGAAAATTTTTTCTCAGCAAGTAACGTCATCGGATATGTAGTCAGTGTTAATCTTTCTTTTTAATTAAGCTTAAATGTGAAGTGCGAACATAATTCCATCAGCAGCAACCAGTACTTTTTCTGATGCAAATAACAACAAAGCCCGCCAGCGAAGCAAAGCAATTTTTAACATTAAAAGTGGGCATCAAATTTAGTTTCTCCTAAGCACTGTAATAATGTTCTGAAAATGGTTTTGGGTTTGAATTCAACTCCATTAACTTTTTTATTACTTTTATTAGAACTACGTCTCCGCAAATTTGCAATTTCTTTTAAATTACATTTTTCATCATTACTTAGGGCTCTGCAAAGAAGGTTTCTTTCTCTCAGAAGTACTTGATTGCAAAGTACGACTCAACTTGTCAATTCATCTTTAGCTTAAGCAACTATCAAATTTTTGACGTATAAAATTAATATTTTCGGGACAATTAGCGGTAATCCCAAAGTTAAAGATCCTTTCCAGAAAAAATAATTGAAATCTATCTTCCTTATTTTCGGAAATATGAAAATTCAAATTGATAAGATAGGAACCAATGGTGGGTGGATTAGATGAAATAAGGAAAAGCCAGTCTGCAAAACAAATATTGAAAAGATTTGCAGGGTTGTAAAAGAATAAATCTTTAACAACTAAAGTACCTCATGATAACTTTTCTACTCCCGAGAGTATTTCATAGTTAATTACTTAAGGTAAGGATAAAATTAGGTAAGTTTCCTTAAAATGACGGAGGTATTCATAAATCATTCTTGTTCTGAAAACTTAGACAACTCTATCATTATTTGCATAATTATTTTCTGAACAAAATGGTTACTTTGATTAGTATTTTGGTCAAAACAAAGTAATGATGTGTTTGTTTATGCAAACAATCAATTTAAGATTGCTAACATAGAAATAGTGAGCACATTCATTTCGATTGGTAGTACGGTAATTTGGATAAATATAATGTAAGTAAAATGATGTCAATAAAATAATTTTAATAGTTTAGGCGATGAAAAAAGTTGAACGTTACCTTTCGGGAAATTTTTGCAAGTCTTTTTTCTGATAAAAACCTATTCATTTTAGAGGTAATACAGCAAAACTGTAAGGTCTAAAGAGAATAATCCCATCACTGTAGTCAGTAAAATATTCCTTGCTTAATGTTTTTGAAAATCTGCTTTTTTCTTAAAACAAGAAAAAAACAGATTTTCAAATACAGCAAGAAAACAACTTTTTTTTTTTCTTAAAACAAGAAAAAAGCAGATTTTCAATTACATTAAGCAAGGAATATTTTACTGACTACAGTGATGGGATTTTTCGTCACGAAAAGTTTTCTGGCTCTACCTTAACCCCACAGTTATGCCTTGAAAAATCCTTAATGATTTCTTATAAATAGTTAAGCTACTTGAAAAAAAAATACTAAAAAAATTAATGAGCAAAAATCTGAAAACTTACTTTCACTATATTAGCAGTACTGGCTGTTATAGTCATATTTAATGCTTTGAAACGTCTATGATACTGTCCACTGGATGAAAGTAATTCAGGAATCTGATCAAGCCTTGCAGTCCTAATTTAGATTTGTGTGCCAGAATCTGATCAAATCGCTTATCTGTAACTGGATAAATACTCTAATTCAACGATGAAATTTGTACGTATTTAATCATACCTTTCTCAGAGTCTGAAGCCAAGCCTCATGGCACGTCATTTAAACATGGTAGTAAATGTCAAGGAATTAGATTGTCATCTGAAATGAACGATAAAATTTACTATAAAAAATAACTCTTTCTCGCTCTTGCCTTTGACACTTGAATTTTAAACGATTATGTCACATGTAATTAATCAGATTTCCTCCAGAAAATTTTTTTCTGTGTTGCACATAATCAGAAGCATCAGAAATATTGTTATTTTGCAAATCAATTAAAAAATTATCAAATGTAAATCGATAACGAGATTTGAAAAGATGTTAGAACTTTTGAGAGGACAAAAATGCATGCATTCTCTTGAAGGAGCTAACGAAGTAAGTCATGTTAGATGAAACGTTGCCTAACAATTATGAATTATTAATTCAGTCTGAATACTCGTATACAACAAATTAGATAGAAAGGAAATTATTTACTTTATTCTTCATTTCTCTTTCCTTGTTTTACTATTATCTTCATTACTGCTTCTACTACTGAAAAATTTTCAGAATCAGTTACGCTCTGTTAAATTAATAAACACTGCTCCGAGAAAAAATTCAAGTTAACCATTAAAGATAAGCGAAGTTTGAAAAATTAAAATCGCGTTTGCCATCATTTTATATTTACTCTTCACTTAATTTGACGAGAATAAAGTATCAGTACGAAAACGATTAATAGATAAAGTAAGGCAATTGTTTATTATAATCAAATTAACGAATGATTGCTTAAGAGGATTGAAGAAATTAGTTCTTAAAGGATTTTTTGATTGGAGCGTGTAAATTCACAATTTTCCAGATGACGAATTATTTCCAGGCACAACTTTTCTGGTTATTAAGTGCTAGTAGAGAATAGCCTTTTCTATACCTCGACTAATACCAATAATAAAAATGTCAGAAAATTCTCTTAGCCAAACTAGCAACGACTAATAAAACATATGAATCTGATTAGGCGTCATGTTGGTTGCAAAGTTTTAGCGCATTCCCAAATTCACAAAAGATGCTTAATCTCTTAGTTTGGTCTTAGCGAGAATCATTCAAATACAGCCATTAGTAAAATCTAGTAATGTAGTCTATTGTTCTTACTTAATGTAATTTGATAAATTTTGTCCGTTCAATTTTGGATTCCATAATAAAATAATCTACATCATTCTCTCTTTCACTGGCTACTCAAATTTCTCAATTATTTCCCAACTAAATTATTTTCACTATCACTTTTTAATTATTATTTAATTTAAAATAATTTCGTTGTGTATTTTTTAATGCGAACAATTTTAATTATAAAAATAGAACCGATTTTATCTTGAAGCTGATAAGCAGTTTTTTCAAGTTTCAAAATAAAACCGGTAGTATTGTATTCTTTTCCATCAGACATTGACTTTTGTAATGAGGCTGTATTCTCTTCCATCGGACAATTATATCTGATTCTTGTGATGAGTACTTTCTCGATTGTTCGAGTTAATTCTTGTTCAAATTGTCCAGTTTAACTGGAAGGAATAAGAGCTTGAAATTTGCGTAGGAAAAGTTTATTCAGAAAAAGTGAGAAATGTTTCTAACTATTTTGCCTTAACACGAATCTCTACACTTCCGATTTAAAAGTTCTACTTGTAAGTGACGAAGTCAATATGAGAACAGTCTACTAACAACTCTGAGACGGGAAAATGAACACATGCACTTATAACTTGGCCATTTAGCGTAGTTAGGCCGAAAAAGATTGAATATGGAATAAATTGTGACCGAAATTCGATTTTAGGACAAAAGTGCGAAAAAAAAGTTGATTTATGTTTCAGTTAACAGAATGCTTCTCACTTCTTGCAATTATGAACTGATATAAAAGGCAAATACTTCAGAGCGCACTTCAGTACATTCTACTTTCAAATATTTTGATTCAAAACACACATTTTGTTGGCATTCATTTGCATGTATGGGCAGAACTAATTTTTAAGCACAAAATGCGACTATTACTAATATCGATTTTTATGAAAAACGCATAACACTAATTACGATTAAAAGTCTGATTTGATGAAAATGGATCAAAATAACGGGAAAAAACAACTACTGCCAATATTTGCAACTTGTCCCCACTTTTAAGTAATATTAACTGTTTCTGCAGTGTTACTTGCATTGCGCAATTCTCGTTGAGAAAAATTAAAAGTACTGTAAACAACAGTAAAATAAGTATCAATTTGCAGAAAGTAAAGTAGTAGCCCGAAAAATATACGACATTCAGTATCACTTTATTAGGCGCCTTTATAATTCCAAATCTTAGCGAAGTTCCAAAAACAGTAGACATGAAACTGCGACGAAATGTTTGCTTTTCAAATTTTAATTAAATTCAAACCGAATCTGAAATTACTTTTATTTCCTTTGCACTTTTTTACATTCCAGAAGCAAATATGTATCATGTAAGTCAATAAAATGATTCGTTTGAAAGTGCAGCAGAAATAAGTTTTATCTTTTGCATCTGTTTTAGCACCAGTTTCTATTATCATTATTAAGTGATAATTTAAAAAAAATTTGCTCGAATATAACTGTGTAAAAAACAGCTGACAACGTTGTTGGGGAAAGAAAGCAAGTAAATGACTGAATGCGTGATAAAAGATTAGAGTGAAATTGAAGGAAAAATACAAGCGAGTGAATATCATTTCAAGAAGGCTCCTGCAGTTAGATAGCAGAATGAGCCGTGAGGAACACGGCCATTTAGATTCTGACAAAACACCACACAAATTCATTAACTACTTAAAGAAAAAATTTTTTTTCACTATCACAGCAATCTTTAGCAATAAAAGAGGATAGTCGTAGCAA